TGGTAGGTCATTTGCGGGGGAATTTTTACTTTACAAATTACAGACATGGCCGATTCGCATGGGATTAAGATCACAGACAACCTCCGCAATTATTACAAATGACTGGAGGTCACCAGGTAATACTAATCCCGTACGAATAGGGCTATAGACTCATAGAGCAAGCTTCCTTTTTATGAGAGGAAGCAAAGCCCTCCACGAGCGCGTTAAACCCTTTTAAATTCGGGTTTGATTGAGATTTAAAGACATAATTCATCCAAAAAAAGAAAGAAAATGCTGTTTACTCACCTGCTGCACGTAAGACTCTTCCCTCGGAGATTTTTTAAATGGCGTCTGGTCGCGTTTTTTCAACTCGATTACAACGAATAAGGACTTAAGTTTAACACAAAACACCACAAACTGTAAATGTTTCTAGTATCCCAAGCCTTCTTAAATCGTAGGGTAGATTTCTGTGATGAATGGAACGAAATAAATCGCGATTCACTGATAGTCCTTGACTTCTGAGAGTAACGATGTCCAATTCATGAATGAATCGTTCTATCGAGTCAAATATTCTCAGTGAATCATTTGATTCCGTTCACAAAACGTTACAGCTGAATCGAATAAGTTTTGTAATTGATAGTTATTGAACTGAACTGAATCAACACTGTTTGCATCATTTATCGTTATTAATCTGTTTATTTCTATGAAGCTTTTTTTTTTTTTTTAAACAATCGGCACTGCATAAAGCGCTAGCTATATAAATAAAGGTGACTTGACTCGATGAAAATATGTGGTCAGACTGATTCGATCACAAATCGAATTTGATTCAGTTCTCACGTTAAACTCACTGAATCAACGATCCGTTCAGACGATTAACAAACAGCCTGTGAGGGGAAATATTTACCAAAAAGAAAAACCTTCCAAATGACTTCCTAACAATTAGTGCACAAATCGATGTGGATCACTTCTATAATAGTTTTATGGAACTTTTGAGTGAAACATGACAATTCTGAGTGAACTGTCCCCTTAACTACTGATAGGCTTAAAAATAGTTTTATTAAAAATTGGTAAAAAAAAACAATACACTGCAGACTCGGCCAAGATAAATGAAGTAGAATTTATTGGTTTGGTTTTTTAACATCCCAACTAAAGCACATCACCAGAACACATAATACTCAAATTTCGTAGTGAAATAATGCAGATTGACGTTATTGCAGACAAAACTTTCCTGAAGACATTTGAGGCAGATAACAGCACTCTCAGAACCGTGCATTACACACAACTACGCAATCACAACATGTTCATGATGCCCAAGTATTGTTTATTCCATCATTGCCAACATATCAGTGCATGTTTTTTTTTGTTTTTTGTTTTTTTTTGCAAGAACTCAAAGTAAAAACCTGATATAAGAAAGAAGAAGCTACATTTGGAAATGCATATTAAGAGCGAGCACCTTTAACAGTACTACAGTTCACTTGTTTATTTACGGGTTTGAAAATTATATAATATGACATGACCTCTAAACTATTAAAATGAACTCTTGCCATTTCAATGTTCAGGTATACACTGACATTTTCATTGAACTGGTGCTCTAGCAGATGTCCTTCCTCACATTCTCATGATTGGTAACCGTCCAGGAGGTCTTGACTATGAATTATCCGACACTCCGCCAGCGATCCCGATGCCCTTTCCCCTGGGAGCCCAAAACAGCGCTAACGTTGTTCCCACAGATCCCTATTTTAACACGGCTATGATGTCATTCCGGCTGATTCTTTTTCAGGTGGCACTGCTCTAAGATTGCAAAGATATTTATTTACACATGCCAGAAAAGAAGCAAAGAAACCCGGGGCACTTAAACTGTAAAACAGCAAGTGAACGGAGTTCAACCAGGTAACCTTTAAATGCAAAACTAACGCGTGGCCCTCAAATGTGACATTAATATCATTTCAATACCTAGAGGACGAGAGATAGTGCGCTGTGTTTTGAAACACAATATCAGCTGTGGATGCTTTAATGTTCCTGCCAAAGCAGTGTTCTTACCCACTGTAACAGCCCTGCCGGGCTCATATCAGATTATACTGACTCAGTGGCCTCAAACCAGACAGGACTGGAAAGAAGCAGTTTATTCACTCTGCTCTAAAATAGCCCCCAAAAATATGAGCTATCCCACACCCAAGACAAAATAAAACAAAAATATCTTCCCATCGCATGATGCAAGACAGTCAAAATGACAAATGAGGCTCGTCGATCGTAAACTGGAGAGATTTTCTTTCTTAAGTGCTTATTGGGTGTAAAGTGTTGTGTACCCTGTAAATCAAAGATCTAAAATTAACCAACACATGCATCTGTACTGCAACCAAATATCCATATTCATAATGAAAGACTGAAGGTTTGTCCTATAAGGCAAGAAAATTAAAGTAGATAATTAAAAAAAAAAAAAAAAGAATTGAAACCCAACAATTACCATATCAAAAACATATAGTCTAGAATATCCTGTAAATGTTTTCTTGGTCCTTCCATATAAACAATTAGACTCATTTATGAATCCCAAGCTGAATGAATCTGAGTAAATTGTTTGTAAAAGTCAGGCTTGTGTAAATTGTGGCATTCAATTCAATATGGCTATTTAAACAAATACCAAAGGATTCTTTGCAGTGAATGGGTGCCGTCAGAATGAGAGTCCAAACAGCTGATAAAAACATGACAATAATCCACAAGTACTCCACATGACTTCAGTCCATCAGTTAACATCTTTTGAAGCAAAAAGCTGTTTGTAAAACAAATGTAGACTTTTTTAACTTTAACTTTTTAAAGAAACAAACTCATCTACATCTTGGATAGCCTGAGGGTGAGTAAATTTAAAGCAAATTTTCATTTTTTGGTGAACATAAATTCACTCTGCTTGTGTTTCATTGATGAGGCTCAATGTACCTGACATACAAACTGACACATCAAGAAATGTAATACTCATGTCAGCTGATATTCAATTCTAAACAGAGTTTATAACCAAAACACTTGAAATAAAAATTAAACACTAGAAGTTCACAGCAAAAGCAGAAAGAAAACATATGACAGTGTGTGAAAACCCTGCAGAGGCTTTAATGAATCACGTGAAAGCGCATGAATGAAGAACGGAACCCTGTTCTTCTTACACAGCCAGAGGAGTGATGCGCAGCCAGCTGAGCTGCTATCAGCCAATGAGGATGCAGGAAAGAGAGCAGGTGCATGATGATGTTCGTTCAGTCTGACTTCTTGTCCTGCTGAGAGTCGCATTTGGCCTGCGTTCAGAGACAGAGCAGAAAGAAGTGAAATTTTCAACATCAACTGACAGAGATTTGCACAATCCTTTGGAGAGTGATTTTGGGTGGCTGACATGACGTCAGCAAGTCTTAGCAGTGTCCTGCATGCTTTATTTTAGGACCACTCTCAACTATATTATCATCATCATCCTGTATAATCATTATGCATGTAGGTAGAACGAGCTTATATCAATGTAGGGACTAAACGGAGTATGAAAATTAAGACTAAAGAAGGTAAAAGTGTGGTTAAAAATGGTGACATATATATGAGCAATATCACTCTCGTACTCGAGCGATACCGGCTCTATATCAGCATGGCTGTG